CCCCCTTATTAACATTAGGCACAAGAATGTTACCAAATGATGTGCTATTGAATGATTTTGGTTTCCTTGGTTTGAAAGACAGAGAGGTGTTAGTTCAATCTCTCCGTTAACCTCCCCCAAGGGCTAAGTGACAGGCGATGCGTCTTTTGAAGCTGTGCCCGTCTGACCTCGGATGCCCCGGGAGTCCAGTGCTGAATTTACCTGGACTTCCCGTCTGCACTGTGGCTCCAGGACACGCCTCTGCGGGCCCGGCCAGACCCACCACGGCCGCCACACGGGTTCCTGTTTCCGAGCCGAGGAGCCCTCCCCAGCGGGACCCTGTTCTAAAGGCAGGACGAAGGAATGATCGAGGGGCCTGAGCCGCAAACACAGGTCTCACAGACTCAGGTCCCGGTCCGGGCTTCACGCCATGCGACCAGTGCTGTATTTACCGCGGTGGGACTCGCACTTTTAACACATCACCTCTGAAACTCTCGCAAGCGTTTCCTGGCTTCTTCAAGAAACTGCTGGTGCAACTTGCCCTGATCTAAAATCTGCTGTTGAATGTCACGGATCTTCTGGCCGCCGTCGTCGTCTTCATAGTCGCTGCTGCTGGAGGCCGGGGGGGAGGCGGGCCTGCACCCATATCCGCCATCCTTCCCCGGGTCCCGAGGGGAGGAAGCCTCGGCACGCGCTGGGCGAGCTCTCGTCTGCTCCCCCCTCTCACCTTGATCCGTCAGGCCGAGGACTTCCAAGCTCACCTTTGGGGGTTCAAGCAATTCCAGCTGCGTTTGTCTTCTCTGCTCCATGTCCTGCTTCAGCCTTGAAGCCACCAAGCCGGCTCTGTCCGCCTGTCCCTGCGGGTGAAGCCGCAGCGAGAGTGTGTCCAGTCTGGGCAATTCCTGCCTGGATTTCGCGCTGGACCAGCTCGTGCTCTCCTCGCTGATCAGTGTTCCTATCTCAGTAGATGACAGGTTCCCCTTGTCCTTAAGAGGGGGCTCGAGCATCCCCCGATACCTCTGGTCGTCGAACTTGCTCAGCAGCTTCTGCAGGTTGCTTCTGGGCGGCGCGTGGTGGGCGTGCTCCTGGGCTGCACGCGTGGCCTCCCTGTCAGGCACCAGCTCCGTGTCCGAGGCCGCCACTGTCTTCTCCGTCCAGGTCTCACTGTGGTGTCCACGTGCCTCTGAGAAGCCCTGTCCTTCCTTGGGGTCTGCACCCACCCCTGTCAGGGACTGAAGGTGCAGCCTCAGGTGTCGTTGCAGCTTTCTGTGTGTGTTAAACAACTTCTCGAAGGCCAGCTCCAGCTCCTTCCTACACTTGCTCTTTTCCCAGCGCTGGCCCGGGGGCGAGGCTCTCCCTCCTCGGGTCGAGCCCACTGGCTGCAGAGGCTCCAGACTGTCCACCCGGCCATCGGGAATCGGACGCAGACAGTTGTTCCGGCCTGGAACCAGATGGGCCGTCCAACCCACTGTCCTTCTCCTGCCCCGGGAGAGGTCTCTCTCCCTTTCCCTGGAGACCGAGGTCCCCCCTGTAGCAGCCGAGAGCTTTCTTGTGTCCAGGCCTCCGTTCACCCAAGGGTCAGCAGGACAGCGGCCACCGCCAGTCTTCCTTGAAGGCCCCTGCTTCCCTTTATTCTTCTCTGGGGGACCCAGGGGAGGGGCAGGATGTGGCTGGCCCGTGGCTTTGAAAGCCCCCTTCCTCTCCGCACCCACCACTGTCCTCCGGGCCTTGGTGCACCAGGGCTGCAGTCTGCCCGGGTCTTCTTGGCGACGCTTCTCTCCTCTGACGGCCGCCCTCTGATTCTCCCAGCCCCGGGGCCACCAGCTTGCTGCCCCTCGCCAGGCCGGCCCCTCCAAGTCAGGTTCAGGCTCCCTGGCCCATCCTCCCCCCGCCCCTAACAGATGTGCTAAGCTTGGCCGCTCCCATCCTCGGGGGTGCTGGTGAGGGGCCTCCTGCCACTCAGGCCTCAGTCCCGCGCCCCAGTGCGGGGGCTGCAGGCTTTTCCGCTGCCTGAGGTCCCGTCTTCTCTGCGCCGCGAAGTCTCCTCTCTCTCGGACTTGGAGCGGTTTGTGTCTCTGCCTCGAAAGGCAGATGTCCTCGTCGGGGTCGGAGCTCAGGCGAGCGGCTCTCTCCGAGCCCCTTTTCATGGTGGAGACCTTGGCAGACGTGGCATCTGAGGGACGCTGGTGGGAGCCACGGGACAAGGGGCCACGGCTGTTCCACGTCAAGCCTGTGCGGGCGGGAGGACACACGCCACCGCCCGGGACGCGAGCAAGGCCCTGGGGATAAGGCACACGGGCTCTGAATGAGGGGACAGACTCGGACGCGTCCCTGCCACTTTCTCCCTCCACCCCCATCCCCCAGGGCCTGTCCTCTGTCTTCACACCTTCAACAAGATCCTGACATTTGTGTCACAGCTGGAGGCAGCTGCTACTGTCATCTCGAGCGGGGAGGCCAGGGATGCTTCTAAACATCCCGCAAAGCACAGGATGGCCGCGTAGTGCTGAGGTCAGGCTGGAGGAGCCTGGTAGGCAGGGGCTGTGCGGGGCGTGGAAAACTGCAGGGGGAGGCGTGTGGGGGGAGGCATGTGCGTGCACACTGGGTACTAAAATCCAATGCAACCCAATCGGAGAGGAGACTAAACTGGAGCTACTCCTGTTTTCATGATTCCCTGCTCTTTCCTTGTGTGACTCTTGGGCATGAGGAAGGGACCAGGGCTCAGGCCCGCCCAGGAGAGGAGGTGCCTTCACCAGAGAGTGGAGTCACATCTGTGTGCACCGGCTCCTGAGGTCAAAGACGGCCAGCCTATGGGCTGAGTGGCTCCCTGCACAACTGCAGCCTGCAGGGGGCGCCCCTCAGCTGCCCCCCCCCAGCTCTCATTTGGTCTGTGTGGAGCCAGGCTGAGCTGCAGGAGCCGAATCCTGGCGGCCCCGCTATGTAAAATGCAGCTCTGCTCCGGGTACTTTTTTACAGTCACCTTTGAGGTGAGGAGCCATTATCACCCTGGGTTCACAGGTGGGGAAACTGAGGCAGGGAGTGATGAAGAACTGGGACCTGGATCACACAGCTAGCAGGTGAAAGAAACAGGCCTCTGCCACTTGGGTCAACAGCAGGGACTGTGACCAACCTCAGCTGGTCTTGCTGACGCCAGCTTTTGGTAAATTTGACCACTCAGAATAGTGGCTAATAATATATTCTACCAGGCTGCCCGCCGCCATGATGGACGAGAGGAGGAGAGAAGGTGGGCTCGCTGAACACGATAACTGAGATTTCTGACAAAGGTGCCAAGGCAACCGACTGGGGGGGAAGCATGGGGTTAATCCCCCCTCCCAACAAATGGTGCTGGGACTGTTGGCTCTCCACATGGGAAAAAGGTGAATTCAGGCCCTCATCTCACCATAGACAAAATTACACTCCTTACATAAAAGTGAACTAAACTACGATCGGAGGCCTTCATACGCGGTCTAAGACGACAGATGCCGAGAAGAAAACAGAAGCGTATCTTCATGACCTTGGGTTAGGCAAAGGTTTCTTAGATACACCACCAAAAACACCCGCAATGAACTGATAAACTGGGCATCGTCGAAATGAAAAACCTTCGCGTTTCAAAAGTCATCATTAACAAGCAGTACACAAGGCACAGACTGGGAGGAAATATCACAAGCCATACATCCAACAAAAGACCTGAATCCATAATATATAAACAACTATGACTCAGCTGGCAGACAAGCAAGCCCACTTAAAAACGGGCAAAAGATGGAAATAGACCTTCCGCGAGGAAGATTTATGCTCGGCTGACAAGCCACAAAGATGTTCAGGGTCAAGAGTCATTAGGGAAATGCAACCTGGAGCTACAGTGAGATGTGACTGCCCCCCCTCCACTGGGACAGCTACCATGGAAGAGACGGAGGGTGTTGGCAAGGATGTGGCTGGAAGTCAGAGCTGGGAGCCAGGACTTGGTCTTGGGCTGAGCTTGTCCTTACCTGACCTCTGGCCTCCCAGGACTGAGAGGAGCGATGAGAGGGGCCCTGGCGCCTTCTGTGTGCATCCACCTGTGTGCACTTGAACGGGCACCCGCCCCTTTCCATTCAAGTGTTTTACCTGGATAGCGACAGGCAAGGTCCAGCACAGTGTTTCCGAATCTTATGAAAAGCCGGGCTCTGACTCGGCAGGCCCAGGGGATGTGATGCTGCTGGTCCCTGGACCACACTGCGAGCAGCGAAGCCCTGGAAAGGGTCTCTACTCTGTATCGGTGTCCTGATGTGTCCCTCCTTTGCCGGGTTCCTCCCCCAGCAGCTGAGCTCCCCGCGTCTCTCCTGAGCTCCTCCAAGAGCCTCCCAATCAGGCCCCTGCCACGCCCACACCTGACCTCTCCTCCAGCACCGAGGTGACAGCCACTGCTCTAGCTCAGCTGCCTGACATCAGCACCTACACTAGCTAGTTTCCAACCCTGTCTGCAGGCCACCTGCACCACTGTCACCTGTGCTGCTACTTAAAATGCAGATCCCAGGGCCCTGGCCCAGACAGATCCTATATTCCAGCCTCTGTGGAAGGAACCCAGAAATGTGCTCCGTTAACCTTCTCCCCACATGGGGCCATCTCTGGCCTACAGGCTTGGGGACAGTCCTGCAGGTCACGGGTTGACACCCCTTTCCCAGCTGGACATGCTGCCAAGTTCCTTGCCATCCACGTGCCCACACTCAGGCCCAGAGCCAGAGCTGCACTCACCCGGTTCCTCTTCCTCAAATGGACACCCTTCCTCCTCCCTTCCCGCAAGTCCCCCCCAGGTCCAGTTCCTCCTTCCTCCACTCACGTCCCCTGACCTCCACGGCAACAGGGAAGCTGCTGGGGCCTCGGCTCAGAGGCCCACAGGCTCAGCGCCTGGGTGACTCAGGTTGTTTTTGTTTTTTTTTTCTTTGAAACATAAAAATAGATGTAAAAGGGCTCCCATTAGCTGGCGTGGCCACGGAGAGCACATTTCCATATAATTAAAATTTCCTTTTGTATGCAAACTTCATCACTTGTCTTCTGAGAGATCAGAGAACAGAAAGAACTGCACCTTCTTGGGAAAACTCTGCATTATCTTTGGAACTATAATACAGGGGACTGCTAAAGGTTTTTAAGATGTGGGGGGGGAAGTCCATATAGGACAGAGTCCCTCGAAGCCACATGACCCCAGAATATAATTTGGGTTATTTAGGTCAACTTTTCATAGCTTCCTGTGTCCTCCAGGGTTGTGCTTTCTGTGGGCCGTCTGGCACCCTGTCCCATTCCCATTCGGCTCCCAAACCGCCCTGGGCCAGCACCGGAACGAAGCAGCCTGTTGAAACCGCATGAGTCAGAGTGAACGGAGTCCGGGCCCCGATGGCTCCTCACCGAGCCAAGTCCGAAAGTGTGGACTCAAAGCTTATCAATTCCGGAGGCGACCCCCACAGCACACGACTACCCCCGGGGAGCCAGGCACCAGCCCACGTGGTGCTGGAGAGCAAACCTCCAGCTCAGGCCGTTAACAGGCCGACACCTGCTGGATCAGACAAGACCAAGGCAATGCGAACACACCTACGACTCACAGGGGGCCCCTGGACCCACTGTGCAGGCGCAAAGCAGGGGCTGCAGGTCCAAAGAAGCGAGGACATTAGATGGCCAGGGCGGAGGAGCCAGGAGTCGGCAGAGACGCGTGACCACCAAAGAGCCAATGCGGTCCCCACCTGTGCTGAACAAGAAACGCCTAGAACAAGAGCGCAATGGTCCGGTCCAGCCGAGCCCGCGCTGGTCAGACCTCACTGGATGTCCCTGGCCCTGGTGTGAAAGGGACACAAGGGAGAGGACTGCCAACATCCGGGAGCACCCACCACTTCCCACCCCCCGGGGGGAAATAACACGTCCCGGGAAGCGCTGAGCCAGGCTCACAGGGAGGCTCAGGAACGGTCTGAGACAAGGGACGGATCCCACACGCAAGGGGCTGACAGACGCGTGCCTAGAGAACTTCAGAAAGGGAAGAGATGCTGGTGTCTAGCAACACCCAATTAGACGTCGCCGCCGTCGTAAGAGGAAAGTTTCAAGATCAAAATGTTTAGAAATTAACCTGATAAGAAACGTATACCAAAGAACTACAACTTCACTAAGGGAGGGGGAAACCTGGACAGTACGAGCCGTGTCTCCGCAGACGGGAACCGGAAAAGGCCAAGAGGTAAGGACGGGAGCGGGGGCCGCAGCCTCAGCATTCAGGACAAAGATGAAAAAAGAGAAAAACCCGTCACAGGCAGAATAGTCCTAGAGAACCAAGAAAGCTTCAAGCGAGGATTGCAGGGGGTAGAAAAGTCTAGAACCGCACACCGGTATGGTTAAGNAAGAAAAGTCCTAGGGAACCAAGAAAGCTTCAAGCGGGGATTGCAGGGGGTAGAAAAGTCTAGAACCGCACACCGGGATGGTTAAGAGTATCACCTAACTGTGCGACCTAGGGTAAGCTTCTTCACTCTAGGAGCCTCAGTTTGCTCATCTGTAAAACGGGAACAATAGCAACATCCATCTATATAGATGCCTATAGATGCCAGCACTCATCACCATTAGAAACACCCCAATGCCTGGCGAGCCATTTGAGGAGAGGGTGGTACTTACTGTGCGTGTCTCCAGATGACTGAGCTAGACCACCGGGAACACATTAGAGACGCAGGAATTGGCTGGATGGAAAGAAGCACTTTCTACAGGGTTGTGTTGAAATCATTGGGCTAACTTGAAAGGTACTGAGACACCCATCGCTGGAGGCATCCAAGCCAAGCTCAGATAAAACAAACATCAGAAACATTTTAAAACTCATTTTCTCTGAATTCTAGCCTCTAAAAAGACACGCGGTGACACCCAGCGTGCGTGCTGCCGGGTCTCCGCTTCCCGCTGCTTCCTGACTCTCAGCTACGCTCCGGAGTGGCGGGCGGTTCCCAACACCGGCTGGGTTTGGATGGGCTGCATCAGAGTCGCCTGAGTGGGGGTGGTCATGGCAGGACTCGAGTCCCAGCCAGGCCCCTGAGCAGGTTTCTCACCCATATCCTGGGGTGGGGCTTGTAAATCTGTCTGTTTAACAATCTCCTGATGCACAGACAGGACTGGGACAGCTCTAGAAAGCTGAGGTGGCTGGGCAGTCAGCCTCGGGGGACAAGCTCGGGCTCACCTCATTTCCCTCATCGCCTGGACCAGCCTCACAGAGATACACATGAGGCAAAGGGTCTCCCACACTTACGGGAGACATCTGGCTACTGGGTGGTGCTTACAGCTGATCCAACTGGAGGATGATCCTAAATGTTTCTCTGACCTTACAGATTCCAGGTCCCCCAGCCTGG